CAACCATGAACATGGAAGGGTTAGACAAAATGGAAAAGAGTGTGAAGCGCTTGCGTGAACGCGTAGCCGAGGAAAATGCGAAGCGACCGCGGACCCAGATGCTGGGCGTGAGGCCGACCATAGGCCCACGGGATGCTGCCCGCGCACGCGCCGAATCCGCCGACGCCGCCATGATGTACGCGGCACTCACGCACCCTACTGGACAGACGCGCAGCCAGCAGCAAGCAATGGCGACCCAGCTAGCCGCTAGGCGGACCGCCGTCGCACGCGCTGCCAGCATGCATGCCGTCACCATCCACGCGGAAACGACCCGCGCTCTGTCAGTGCACGCGATCGCCGCTAACACAGCCGCAAGGTACGCGACCACAGCCAGCATGACGACGGGCACCCATGCTGAAAATGCCGGCGTCGCACAGCGCTTTCAGGAACACCACCGCCACCACCACGACCCACAACACGGCAACAACACCACTACCTTCACCACCACACACACCAGTATCACCAGAGGTAGTACCACTGTCAGCGTCACCTCCCCAAACACCAGCACCGACTGAAGCAGTATCACAACCACGTTGCTCGTCAACACCACCAATGGGACAAACGGTAATCCCCGCCGACGAAAACGACGGGCCAGCACTAGACCAGTTCCCGGAGATCGCCGGGAGGGTCCGGAGGGCTATACGCGACATCGCAGAGGGAACCTGCGCGTCCTGTGTGAGGTTCCGCGCGGGAGAATACCGAGTCAACGTATACCGGTGGGGCGCACGTATATGTCAGAAACATCCCAATCCTTAAGCCCGCCGAATAGGGGGGGAAGTGTGAGGACTAAATATCCGCGGAATTTATCTCACACGAACGCAAACCCCTACACCAACAATAACGACTACACCGGCAACAATAACGACTACAGCAACATCATCGAAACGGCTAACCAACACGAGAGACCGTATCAACACCAGCGTTGCCGTTTTTGTCCAATTGGACCAAAATTGGTAGGCTCATTATCCTTTGGTAGTTTGGTTGGTAGGATGAAGCTTTTGGTAGGCAAAAGTGAAATTGCAACCAAATTGAGCAATAAAATTTGTTTGCTTAAGATTGCATACTGCCAGTGCTATCTACTGTTTATAGTAACTCTAAAAATATCTATGAATGGTAACCCTGTATTCATAGCAAGCAAAGGAAATAATGACAAGAGAAAGAGTGAAAGAAAGATGTTAAATGTCAAAAACTTGGCATTTGCGCCTTTCTTCAATTGAATTTAACAAACAAGCGAAAAGATTAGTGATGGACAAGTAAGTTAATTTTGCTTTAAATTAGTTACTTTTTAATCGTTGTTTATTTGCAGGTATATCTATAAAGCCTCTAAACCGTCCGAAGTAAGTGTGGACAATAATAACGACGACTTGTTCAGGTAAAAATTGCGACTAAGTAGGCATGTACATATGTGTCAATTAACAAATACTGAAAATTCTCGTGGTGATGAAAACTCGCCTGCGCCCAAAAACCAAACTCAGAAATAAACTAAACATCAGTACAATAAATAGTATTATGCATACGGTGACCATAAATATGGATTCAAAATGAAGGACAATTTTTCAAAAATATGCCTACATATATTTACGTAGTATAAAAATATTAAAAGAGTATTTATGATTCTAAATTCTTAATACATTTTAAACTTTAAAAATGAGTCACGTTTTTTTCATCGATATTAATCTTTTTTTACGTGAATATTTATGAAAGTATAGTAAAACATATTATAATTAC